TTCAAGTGGGTGAAAGGTAGCCTGATGAAAGAAGCATCTGTCAAACTTAGAGAATGTATAATTAAAATTCATGCATTTCACTGTATGTAAATTGAACCACAAATGAAAATATCTATACACACATATTGAACTCTGGTTAATAATATGCATACTGAAGAATTTAGAAATAAGTGTATTGATGCCTGTAATTTAATTTTAAATCTATCCAAAAAATTAGTTGTATTCATGGATAGATGTATGAGGAAGCAAGTATAATAAAATGGTAGAATATAGGTCAGGCTGTATGTTTAGAAAGTGTCTTCATAAAATGTTGGGAAGCCTGGCCCGGTGGCTCCGTTGGTTGGAGCGTCATCCTATACACCAAAAGGTGGCAGGTTCTATCCCTGGTCAGGGCACATACCTAGGTTGCAGGTTTGATCCCTGATCCATACAGGAGACAACCTATTGATGTTTCTCTCTCACATCTCTGTCTCTCTCCAAAAAAAAAAAGTTGGGAAAAATAATGTTTATATACATTTAAGATTAGTGCATTTTACATAATTTATGCATGATTTTTTAAAGCATCCCCCACATAAAATCTGAATAAAGAGGGTTTCCTGAAGATGGATCTTATATCCCAAGGTCTAAATTCCATACCCCCAAAGTTCACATAGTTCAAATCTATGGAGAGGGGCTGGGCCTGACCGACCTCTTCCCCACCCTCTGGTCCCACCCACCCCCTGGAGCCCCGTACCCACGCAGTGACGCCCGTCCCGTGCCCCCTCGTAGCCCTGGTCACAGAGGCACTGGAAGGAGCCAGGCAGGTTCTGGCAAACGGCATGGGCCCCGCAGAAGGACCGGTTCCGGCATTCATCCACATCTGCAACCAGCAGACAGTTAGACCATTGCTGGACCTTCTATCTCCTCCACAGCTCACCCAATGCCCGATGGACACCCACCCTGGCATCCGCCCCCAGGCATGGGCTGGTAGCCAGGGTCACAGGTAGGCGTGCAGCGGTAGGAGCCAGGGGTATTTTCACAGCGCTGGGCTCCACAAATTGCCGGGCCATATTCTTGGCACTCGTCCACATCTGCAAGAGTGGGGACAGGGTGAGGGAAGGAGAAGGGAGTTATAGGCCTGGATTCACAGGTTCCTGATGCCACTTTCAGTTCTCAGGACTGAGAAGTTTCTAGGAATCTTATATTCTAGGAGTCTGAGCTTCTTAAGATTGACAGTGGTGATAACTCCAACGGCCTGGAACATGGTTCCACCTCGGGCTTTTGCACGTGCTGCTCCTCTGTCAGGAACACTTTTCCCTCAGCTATCTGCATGGCGTCGTCCTTCACTTCACTCAAGTGTCTAGGGGCCAAGGCCTCCTAGCACTCGCTCCCCCACTGCCCTGTTGTCTCTGTCCATTTGTTCTGCTACATTTTTCTTCTTAAACTTGACACTATATTATAACCACCCCCCTAGAATGCAAACCCCACAACAGCATGGAATGTGTCTGTCTTGTTCCCCACTGTATTCCCAGGGCATAGAATAGTACCTAACATACAGTAGGTGCCCCAAATTGTTTACTGAGTGAGTAAACAATTGAATTAATTTACCTACTTATTGTCTATCCTCCCCCCCCCCCACGTGGCAGCTCCATTAAGGCAGGAATTTTGTTTGACTTACAGCCTGTTGCCCCCCAGTGTCTGGCACACAGCAGGTGCTTAGTATATTCTTGTAGAATTAGTGAATGAGAGCCCCTGAAACTAGGTTTCTATGAGCCAGAGCTGTGGCAACCAGAAAGCCAAAGGCATCCCACGGTCATTTCATCTGTTCCACAAAATGCTGACCCGCATTCCATCCAAAACAATGACTTAGATTAGTCCTAGCCTCCTGTCTCCGCCAGTACCCTGCCAGAGCCTGCTGGGGGGATGGGGCAGGGGGACTGGAAGGTGAGGGGTGAGGTGGGGGCATGGAGGGGTAGGAAGGCATGGAAAATGAGAAGAGTAGGCAAGGGGTGGTGAAGGTGGAACAGAGACCGGAAGGTATAGACCTGTAGTTCCCAAGGCCTGGAGAAGTCTGAGGAAAGACAAAGGACCGAATCTGGAGAGACACACAACACTTTAAGGGGTGGATTTTAAGTGGGCAGGGTCAGTGCTTGGAGAAATCTGGGGAATTTGGCATTGGGAAAGGATGGGGCCCAGGACAACCAGGGTTGCACCTCTTTGGAGGGACAGCTGGAAGCAGAGTGAGTGGTGGAGGGTGGGGAGAGGGCAGGTTCAAAGAGAGGGAGCCTGAAGAGGGAAAAACAGGGAGTTTTAATCCGATGAGAAAGGGGAGAGGCTAACTGTTCTTGGGTTAGGAGATGACTTGCTGGGATAACTCAACCGGCAGAGGGGGCACGGGCTGCTTCTGGAAGCAAGGCTTGGCCTGGGTCCTGATAGTAGTGACTTCACCCAAACTCCCACCTCCCTCCACAAGAAAATACAAGACACTAAGATTTTTAAAAAATATTTTAAATATATATTTTTATTGATTTCAGAGAGAGAGGGAGAGAGAGATAGAAACATCAATGATGAGAGAGAATCATTGATTGGCTGCCTCCTGCACACCCCACACTGGGGATGGAGCCCACAACCCAGGCATGTGCCCTGACTTGGAATAATCAAACTGTGACCTCCTGGTTCATAGGTCAACGCTCAACCACTGAGCCACGCCGGCTAGGTGACACTAGGATTTTTTAATTAAAATAATATTGAATATCAACTGTAATTGACAAATTAAAAATGTTTAAAGAAAAAAAATTTTTTTAAGAAAAAAATAGCCCAGCTGGTGTGGCTCAGTGATTGAGCATGGACCTATGAACTGGGAGGTCACAGCTGGATTCCCAGTCAGGGCACATGCTCGGGTTGTGGGCTCAATCTCCAGTGGGGGGCATGCAGAAGGCAGCCAATCAATGATTCTCTCTCATCA